GGGATGTGCAGGTTAGGGTGGATTGGCCGTGCTAAATTACCCCATAGTGCCCGGGGATGTGCAGGTTAGGGTGGATTGGCCGTGCTAAATTACCCCATAGTGCCCAGGGATGTGCAGGTTAGGGTGGATTGACCGTGCTAAATTACCCCATAGTGCCCAGGGATGTGCAGGTTAGGGTGGATTGGCCGTCTAAATTGTCCCATAGTGTCCAGGGATTTGCAGGTTAGGGTGGATTGGCCGTGCTAAATTGCCCCATAGTCTCCAGGGATGTACAGGTTAGGGTGGATTGGCCTTGCTAAATTACCCCATAGTGTCCAGGGATGTGCAGGTTAGGGTGGATTGGCCTTGCTAAATTACTCCATAGTGTCCAGGGATGTACAGGTTAGGGTGGATTGGCCGTGCTAAATTACCCCATACTGTCCAGGGATGTGCAGGCTTAGGTGAGTTAGCCGTGGGAAATGCAGGGTTACAGGGATAGGGTAAGGGGGATGGGTCTGCGTGAGGTGCCCTTTGCAGGGTTGGCGTGGACTCGATGGGCCGAAAGGCCTGCTTCCACACTGCAGTGATTCTATGAGGTACCAGAATGACAACCAATGTTCAGGGAACATGCCACATCATTAACCAGTGCCTTCAGTGGAGAAAACATTTCAGGACATTTTCTTCAGTCTGTCCCTGAATCTGTTTGAACCATTCTGAATAAATCTTATCTCACACGATTTAGCATCTTCCAAGCCTCTCTGAAATAAGCCCTAATTACAGCCTTCAAGGAGTCATTTTAATTGTTAGGCAGGGGCGTACAATGGATGGTTACAAATCACCCACTATGTAGTCTGTCTGACATGAATAGAAAAACAAACTCGTATAGACAAAACTGCAAATATCTACTTTACAATCCCACACAAAAGCCACATGCTGCAGATGCTGGAAATCTGGAAGAAATACAAGGAGTGCTGGAGAAACTCAACAGGTCTGGCAGCATATATGGAAAAAGAAATAGTTAATGTTTTGAGCGCGGTGTGACTCTTCTTCAGAATTCTGAAGAGTTCTCTGAAGAACAGAATTCTGAAGAAAAGTCATACTGACTCAAAACATGTAGTGATTGGAATGAGAGCAGCCAGCTGCACCTCCTAAAATATGAATTCCCCAATTGGAGCTGTTAACCTGGGCCAATCAGGGAGCTCTGGCTGACAGATATATACAGAAGTCTCGCTACTATTTCAGTGGTCGCATGGGTGCTTTCCTAGTGGTGGAAATATTGCGTAAAACTTTTTTTTGCACAATGGTGTCTTCACTGAGTCACTGCACTTAACATACATGTAGACAATGTGGGTGTGTGAGAAAAAGAGAATAAAATACAATCAGGAGAAAAAAAAAGGAAAAAAAAATAAACAGGGGATTCAGAATCTCTTAAATTCAGGAAAAGAAAATAAACAGGAGTCTCAAGGATTCTCCTCATTCTCAGGATTGGCTCTCAGCTGGCTGGTTCAGAATCCATGTACTGTGCCCGTGTAAATAAAGGGCGACTTGGGGATGGGATAGTGGCCTCTGTGCAGTTACTTCAACGTGGTAACTCTATCTCTCTCTCCACAGATGCTGCCAGACTTGCTGAGTTTCTCCAACAATCTCTGTGCATTTCTTTTTTTGTTCATATTGCAATCAGTTAGAATTATCTCTCTCTGTCTTCGTTCCAGTCTTTTCTCACTTTTCATGAACTTGTCCTTGTGGGGTTAGCTTCCTGGCCTTTCTCTACAGTGCCACCCAGCTCTGAATGTCTCTGGGATTTCTTGGTGACTGTAACTTGGACGCAGTTTCTGAGGTGAAGTCCATTCTGGTTCTGTTACAGTTCAGCCACTCACTTGCAGTTCACCGTTTTGATAATGAGTTGAAGATTCCTCGTTTGTCAGTTGCTGCGTTTCAGTTTGAAGGAGAGGGTGATACTGGTGGGTACTATTCACTTGGGCCCATGTCTTCAGGAAGGCCTCTGCTCGCTCATTAAGAGCAAGATTGTCTCCAGACATGAGAGAGACAGGGTCTGGCAGACATTCTATATCTCCCATGCCCCTCGAGTCACATGCTGTTTCTCTCACACATTTCTATCTCTGGTGATTAGGTGAACAGACGGAATACGAGGTGCTGCTCCTCCAGTTTTCTGGTGGTGTCATTGTGACACTGGAGGAGGACCAGGATGGACATGTCACCCAGGGAGTGGGAGGGGGGGTTGCAATGGTTCGCGACTGGGAGGTGTTGTCATTTGTCGCATACAGAGCACAGGTGCTCTACAAATGAACCTTCCACATCAGACAGATGTTCACCTGCACATGCGTCAATATGGTCTACTGTATCCTCTGTTCCCAATGTGGCCTCCTCTATGTTGGTGAGACCAAGCAGAGGCTCGGAGACCATTTTGTACAGCACCTGCACTCTGTATGCGACAAATGACAACACCTTCCAGTCACGAACCATTTCACCTCCCCCTCCCACTCCTGGATGACGTGTCCATCCTGGGCCTCCTCCAATGTCACAATGATGCCACCCAGAAACTGGAGGAGCAGCACCTCGTATTCCATCTCAGGAGCCTACAACACAACGGCCTAAATATGGACTTAACCAGTTTCAAAATCTCCCCACCCCCGGCCTCGTCCCTTGTCCAACCCTCCCTCTCATCCCGCCTCCTTGACCTGACGCAACTTGTCCATCTTCTCTCCCACCTATCCACCCCTCCCACCACACTGACCAATCCCCACCACTCCCTACCTGCACTCATCTAACACTATCCCAACTACCTTCCCCAGCCCAACTCCCCCATCTCTATTTATATCTGAGCCCCCTTCCCCCTTCCCCATTTCTGAAGAAGGGTCCCGACCCGAAACGTCGACTTTCCTGCACCTCTGATGCTGCCTGGCCTGCTGTGTTCCTCCAGCTCCGTACTGTGTTAAATCAAATTTATGTGACACAATTTCCCACGCACAAAGCCATGCTGACTATCCCTAACCAGTTATTTCCTTTCCAAATGCATGTAGATTCTGTCTCTCAGAATTCCCACCAACAACTTACCCAGCACTGACTGTTGCAAGGCACCTTCTTCCCCTCTCAACCCCTGGAGCCATACTGAACATAAAGCAATGGCTTTGTCTCCTTTAGGGATCGTGGTTGGACAGCTATAGCTCTTTATGGAATCACAAAGCTCCCTTGGCCCTCGTTGGCTCCATGTTCACATTGGCCGATCCCAGCTCAACTGCTGGGCCCAACGATCTCTGAATCCAGGAAGATCTTCTCTCCGGCCCTTAGTGTTAGAATCTGGCCCTCTGTCCCTGATTGGACGACAGGCTTGCTCCCAGACCTTTCATTAATTGGGACATTATAGCTTTCATTGAAGGTTCAGGACTCAGTAATGGTCCCCATTCCCAGTTTCTGAGCCCCGATGAGAAATCTCTAGATTGCTATCATGAATGAACTATCCTCCAATATCCCTCACTAACCTCCTGCTGTCTCTAATGACTTTGATGAAGTGGATCCTGCTACACTCATATTCAAACACAATCTTCCAAACTCCATAAACCTGACAGTGCAGATCACTACTTCCTGTAAAGACTGCAGCTACAAGAGTAGATCAGAGGCGAGGAATTCAGTGAGTTGTATCTCATCTCCTGACTCTCCAAAACTTGTCCACCATCTACAAGGCACAAGTCAGGAATGTGATGGAATACTCCCCACTTGCCTGGGATGGGTGCAGCTCGAACAACACTCAAGAAGCTTGACTGGCACCACACCTACACACATCCACTCCCTCCCCCACCAATGCCCAGTGGTTAATGTTGTGCCATTATTTTAAAGGTAAAGGTAAAGCCAGGGCACTACAGACCAGGGAGCCCAACATCAGTAGTGAGTAAGTTGATGGAGGGGATCCTTGAGAGATAGGATCTACAAGCATTTGGAAAGGCTGATTAGGGATAGTCTGCATGCACCATCTATGAAACGGGCTGCAGAAATTCACCAAAGATCCTTAGACAGCACCTTCCAAGCCCATGACCACTGCCATCCAGATGGTGAACAGCAGCATCTGCATGGGAATATGACTGCCTGCAAGCTCCCCTCCACGCTACACACCACCCCGACTTGGAAATATATCACCGTTCCTTCACTGTCACTGGATCAGAATCCTCGACCTCCCTTTCTAATGGCACTGAGGTATAACCCCCACCCCAGGGGCTGCAGCTGTTGAAGATGGCGGCTCATGAAGCGGTGTACAAAATTATGGGGGTCGTTAACAGGGAGAAACCTTTTCCCTTAGTAGAGGAGTCAATAACTAGGGGCACAGGATTAAGGCAAAGGGCAGGGGGCTTAGAGGGCAGTGCATGGATAATTCTTGCATCCAAAGGATGAAGGTATCTGGAACTCAAAGTGGTAGAGGCAGGACATTTAAGAAATATTTAGAGAATCACTTTGAGGTATTGCAGCATACAAGGTCTAGTGCTGGAAAATGGGTTTAGAATAGATAAGTGCTTGATGAATGATGGTCCAAAGGGCCTTTTCCGAATTCGATGACTCTATGTGCATCACGTTTTCTGGGATAATTAGGGATGGACAATAGGTGCCGGCTTTGGCAGTGACTCCCACACCCCACCCAAGATTTTTTAAAACAGTGGCCTGGCTAGATGGATACAAAACTGTCTCGGTCATAGAGGATAGAGGGTAGCAGTGGAAGGATGTTTTTCAGAATGGAGACTGGTAACTAGTGGTGTTCCACAGGGATCAGTCTTAGGCCCTCTGTTGTTTGTAGTATATAGAAATGATCTGGAGGAAAATGTGGGTGGTCTGATAACCAAGTTTGCAGATGACACGAAGATTGGTGGAGTTGCTGATAGTGGCAACGATTGTGAAAGTATACAACAGGATATAGATAGATTGGCAACTTGGGCACAGAAATGGCAGATGGAGTTTAATCCAGACAAATGCGAGGTGATGCATTTTGGAGGATCAAATTTAGGTGTGAATTATATTGTAAATGGCAGAACCCTTAGGAACATTAATACCCAGATCTGGGTGTGCAGGTCCACAGTTCCCTAAAAGTGGAACACAGGTGGCCAAAGTGATTAAGAAGGCATATGGCATGGTTGCCTTCATTGCCTGTGGCATGGAGAACAACAGTTGGCAAAACACATTGCAGCGATATAAAACCCTTGTTAGGCCGCATTTGGACTACTGTGTGCAGTTTTGGTCACCACACTACCAGAAGGATGTGGAAGCTTTGGAGAGAGCGCAGAGAATGTTCACCAGGATGTTGCCCAGTCTCCAGGGCATCGCCTATGAGGAAAGGTTAAAAAGACTGGGATTATTTTCACTGGAAAGACAGCGGCTGAGAGGAGATCTGATAAAAGCCTACAAAATTCTGAGAGGCGTAGATAGGGTGGATAGTCAGAGGCTCTTTCCCAGGGTTGAAGTTTCAATTACAAGGGGGCACAGGTTCAAGGATAGAGGGAGAAAGTTTAAGGGAGATGTGTGAGGGAAGTTTTTCACACCGAGAGTCGTAGCAGGTTGGAATGCAATACCAGAAGAGGTGGTGGAAGTGGGCACATTGAAGATATTTAAGAGGCGGCTAGAATGGTACATGAATAGGGAGGGAATAGAGGGATACGGATCGAAAAATGGCAGGTTTGTTTTTAGATTAATTAGGGCTTGATGGTCAGCACAGGCTTGGAGGGCCGAAGGGCCTGTTCCTGTGCTGCATTTGTTCATTTGTTCATTTGTTCAATTCGGCCTTCTGGTTACCATCCCTTTCGACAGTGGTAACTGTTCCTCCTGATTTACTTTCTCCAAACCCTTCATGGGTTACATCGATGAGAGAGAGGGAGGGAGAGAGACAGAGAGACCAAGGAAAAGCTCAACAATGTCAAAAAAGCAATGGAAGTGAAAGATGGAAGGGAACAGAAAAAGCAAGGAGTGAGACAAGGAGAGAAAACAGCAATAATGAAGCCGTTGCGCTTCTGAAGACATTTCCCACCTTCATGTAAATGTTGAGATCTGGAATCCGCTTCTCTGCAATTTCCTGTTTGTGGCCGATAAAGACTTTCCCTAAGACAAAAACAAGGACAGCCTGTTAGAAATGGGACAAACAAAGGGGAAGGGATTGATCTGAGTCAAGAAACATCTAGCCCGCCCACTTGCACACAGAATATCACCCTACAGAGATTGCTGCAAAATATTCCAGTCAGTATACAGGCCCTAATCCCAGTGGAGATGAGAACAGGCCGTGTGACTGGAGGTGGTTTGTTGGCAGAAGATCGAGGAGCCAGCACTCCAGGTAGGTTTTGCGACCTGCCCGTCCTTGCTTCACATCAACTACAGCCACAGATCACACTGACGGTCCAGTTTTTCAATGCAAAACTTAGAGACAATGCACCACTATTTTGAGGCAACCTCTCTCTCTTTTCTAGCCCTTGCTTTTAAAAAAAAATGTTCATTCACAGGATTACCGGCTGGACCAACATTTATTGCTCCTCCCTAATTACCCAAAACTTGTCCACCATGTACAAGGCACAAGTCAGGAGTGTGATGGAATACTCCCCACTTGCCTGGATGGGTGCAGCCCCAACAACACTCAAGAAGCTCGACACCATCCAGGACAAAGGTGTTAAGCTGCCTTCTTGAACCACTGTAGTCCATATGGGATAGGTAGATCCAGGATGCTGTTGGGAAGGGAGTTCCACGTGTTCCACTGAGTGACACTGGAGGAAAGCGATCTAGCTTTGGAATGTGGCTTGCAGGGAAACTTGCAAGTATTATGTTTCCATGCATCTGTTGCTATTATCCTTCTAGATGAGAGAGGTTCGGAAGCTGATATCTGGGGAGGCTTCAGTGAATTTCTGCAGTGCATCTTGTAGATAGTACACACTGCTGCTACTGAGCGTCGGTGGTGGAGGGAGTGGATGCTTGTGGATGTGGTGCCAATCAAGCGGCTGCTTTGTCTTGGATGGTGTCGAGCTTCTTGAGTGTTGTTGGGGCTGCACCCATCCAGGCAAGTGGGGAGTATTCCATCACACTCCTGACTTGTGCCTTGTAGATGGTGGACAGGCTTTGAGGAGTCAGGAGGTTATTTGTCATAATATAAGAAACTGAGAATGGATATGGTGGTATTGAAGAATCCAACAGACATTCATCACAGCAAAATATTGTGCAAACATTACATTTCCCAGGCACCTAAATGTCTGGGTTAATATTAAAATACTAGGGTACCACAGGGCAGCATGCTCCCAGTAGAGTGTGATGCCTCAAGTGATCCCAGGTAAGATAGGGTATAATTTCTTCTGGTCACATGCTATGATGCAGTGATGATATCATGAGTATGCCTCTTAAAAGCACACTGGCATGAAAACGTGAAGAGATAACACAATGGTGGTGTACCATGCAACTTGAACAGGAGGATGGCCCAAAGATCATGAAGCAGGGATTCCTTATTCCACTAGCATCAAGTCATCACAAATGAAGGGAAATTAAGGTTTAGGAAGGAAGGCACATTGCATACATGGAATCGGGTTGAGGAAATCTTTTTTTTCCTTCTGTTTGAAGATTGAGATCTGCTTCCCCAAAAAGTTATCCTTTCCTCCAGAGAGGATTGGTTCAGCTGCTCTAAATGCCCTGCTCAGTGACCTCCCTCAGCTGCTGCTGGAAGAACTGTTACAGTGGAATTTGAAAACTTGGCCCCTGGTTTATTAGTACAGTGATATCACCGCTATGCGATATCAACTTTCAGAATGATTCAATCTTGCCAGGCAGCACCAGATGTTGGGGCCATCTGTCAGAGAGCTAGAAATGTAAAGGCTTGCAACCAACACGCTATTCCGGGAGGGGGAATTTTAATAATCCGAGAACTGCGCAGAAGAAAGCCTTTCAGTCCATTCGTGATAGAATCCCCACAATGTGGAAGCAGGCCATTTGGCCCGTCAAGTCAACACCAAATCTCCAAACAGCATCACACCCCACTAGCCTACCCTTGCATTTCCCACGGCCAACCTACCTAACCTGCATATCTTTGGACTGTGGGAGGAAACCCAAACAGACAGAGGGAGAACGTGCAAACTCCAAACAGATAGTCACCCAAGGCTGGAATCTAATCCCAGTCCCTGGCGCTATGAGGCAGCAGTGCTAACCACTCAGCCACCATGCTGTCCTGTGCCAGCCCCTTGGGAGAGCTGTCAAATCAGTCCCACTTCCATGTAATTTCTCCATAGCCTGCATTATTGTTTCCCTTTCCAATCGTTTATCCTTATTTGGTTTTGAAAATGATCTTAAATCTGCTTCCACAGCCCTTTCAGGCAGCACATTCCTGACAAAGTGAATCATTTTCAGTTTAAATCTTAATAACTAGAGCAAGACCCGATGTAACCTTTTGCGAAGTCATCCTGCCTCCGGCACATATTACACAGTGTCGTTCTGGAGGAACACAGGCGGCCAGGCAGCATTAGAGGAGCAGGAAGGTTGACATTTCTGAAGAAGGGTCCCGACCCGAACCATCAACTTTCCTGCTCCTCTTGACTCTGTCTGGCCTGCTGTGTTCCTCCAGCTCCACACTGTGTTATCTCTGACTCCAGCATCGGCAGTTCTTACTATCTTGGACAAACTTGCTTTGTTTTTACTGGAACGTCAGAGGCTGAGGAACGACCTGATAGAAGTTTACAAAATTATGAGAGGCGTAGATAGAACAGATAGTTGGAGTCTTTTTCTCAGGGTAGAAATGTCAATTAACTGGCAGACATATGTTTAAGGTAAAAGTGGGAAAGTTTAAAGATGGGAGAGGCAAGTTTTTTTTACACAGAGGGTGGTGAGTACCTGAACACGCTGCCAGAGCAAATGGTAGAAGCAGATACAATAGCAATGTTTAAGAGGCATTTTGGCAGAAACATGAATAGGCAGCGAAAAAAACCGCATAGGGGCAAAAGGTTTTTAATTTAGAAAGGCATCATGTCTTGGCACAGATTTGGTGGGCCGAAGGGCCTGTTCCCGTGCTGTACTGTTCCTTGTTCCGAGTTGAATTTCACTTGATCCCCCCCTCAGAGCTTCAGGACTCCACAGCCAGTGAAGTATTTGTTGGAATTGAGGTCACTGTTGTAGTAGGCAATGCAATGGCCAATTTGTACAGATCACAATCCCACAAATGGTAGTGTGATAATGACCAGAGAATCTGTTCTTTTGAATACTGATTGAGGGATAAGTATTGTCCAGGGACCAGGGCCTTTTTCACGATAGTGCCACGGGATCTTCTACATCCACCTGAGAGGGCATCTGAATGGTGACACCTCCGACGGTGCGGCACTCCTTCAGTACTGACCCTCTGACAGCGCGGCACTCCCTCAATACTGACCCTCCGACAGTGCGGCACTCCCTCAATACTGACCCTCCGACAGTGCGGTACTCCCTCAGTACGACCCTCCGACAGTGCGGCACTCCCTCAATACTGACCCTCCGACAGTGCGGCACTCCCTCAATACTGACCCTCCGACAGTGCGCTACTCCCTCAGTACGACCCTCCGACAGTGCGGCACTCCCTCAATACTGACCCTCCGACAGTGCGGTACTCCCTCAGTACGACCCTCCGACAGTGCGGCACTCCCTCA